CAGAGGACGAGATGGTGGGACAGTGTTCTCGAAGCTACCAGCATGAGCTTGACCAAACTGTGGGAGGCAGTGGAAGACAGGAGTGCCTGGCGTGCTCTGGTCCATGGGGCCACGAAGAATCAGACACGACTAAACGACTAAACAACAACAACAACACATCTGCTCCAGGGCATTATCTAAGGCTGTGGTGACCCCCCTTCCCCCATAGTCCACTTTCAGTATCCATCCCATGAGAGGTGGTGGGCTCTCCTTCTTTGGAGGCTTTTAAGCAGAGGTTGGACAGCCGAATGTCATGCAAGATCTAGCTGAGATTCCTGCATTGCAGACGGTTGGACTAGACAACCCCCGGGGTGCCTTCCAACACTTAAGATTCTATGATCCAAGAACGGCACCATGAATCACCACCAGAAATCACACACAGACTCGTATCTAAAGGCTGTGAGCTACCGTATTTTTCGCTCTATTACACGCACCAGACCATAACACGCATGTAGTTTTTAGAGGAGGAAAACAAGAAAAAAAATTCTAAACGAAACAGTGGATGTATGATTTTTGTGCTTCATGCTGTGGCCACAGACATGTGATCTGATGGTGAGTTTGGGGTAGCCCAATTCAAAAATCCTGAGGATCCATGTGGATCCGTGCTTTGTAACCACGTTTTAAGTGGGGAGGGAAGGGAAAGCACTCAAGGGACAAGGAGCACGCGTGGGGTGTGTGAAGAAGGATGCTTCTAATAATGCAGGCAAGGGGTTTAAGGGGAGAAGGAGCTCGCGTGGGGTGTGTGGAGAAGGAGCTTTTCCGCGAGCTGAGCGGGGAGGAGGGACGGAAAGAGCACTGTTGCTTTAAAGGAGCCAACCGGACAGCAGTGTAAGCAGCTCCTCTCCTCTCCTGCTTTGCTCCTTCTCTTCTCTCCCTCTTTGCTGCTTTACACAGCTAATGGAGAATCCCCTGCAATCCAAGTCCTGCTCATGTGCTCAAACCTATCCAGTCTATTCTGCGTAATTTCCCCCTCTCCCTCATCCCGTGCCCTCCTGTCCCCAGCGCGCTCAAGCAGCCAGCGGATCAGGGGAGACGCTGGGAGACATGCATTTCCCCCTCTCCCTCATCCCGTGCCCTCCTGTCCCCAGCGCGCTCAAGCAGCCAGCGGATCAGGGGAGACGCTGGGAGACATGCATTTCCCCCTCTCCCTCATCCCGTGCCCTCCTGTCTCCGGCGCACTGAAGGAGCCAGCGGATCGCTGGGGACGCGTAATTTCCCCCTCTCCCTCATCCCATGCCCTCCTGTCCCCGGCGCGCAGCCTCATTGCTCCGTTTAGAGAGAGCGCAGACCTTTGCTAGCTGAGGCTGCAGCAGTTGTTGCTGGCTACGCAACGCTTTTAAAAGCGCCTGCTGGCTTTGAATTGCCTGCCTCCTTCCGGCTCACTATGGCTCCCGTCTATCCCTCCTCCCGTGTAAGTGGCTGCTGCCTGCTTTTCTGCCATGCCTCTCCTTCCCTCCCTCCTCCCCGGCTCCTCCGTAGGTCGCTTTAAAGCAAGCAAAGCGAGAGCCTCGTAGAGCGTGTAAGCGGCTCTCGCTTTGCTTACTTTCAGAGAGCCCCTCCTCCTGGCTGTAAAGCAGGCAAAGCTAGAGCCGTGCAAAGCGAGACAGAAGCCTTGCAAGCGGCTCCCGCTTCGTTTAACTGACGGCAGCCATGGCTCCGGTCCAGTGCATTCGCCCCATAACACGCACAGGCATTTTCCCTTACTTTCTAGGAGCAAAAAAGTGCGTGTTATGGAGCGAAAATTACGGTATTTCCATTCAAAAGTATTGTCTTTCTGAGCTAGCAACAGATGAATGGAAGTGATGGGTCCCTGGTGATTCACAAATGTGAGCCATTGCTTTACCACTACACTCATTCTGCGACAAACCTGTGCGCTGAACTGCCCTTTATTTGCTACCATAGAATTTTGCTTTTTGGAAAGATCTGTTCCAGGTACTAGCTCCTCAGCTCTCTCTTTGTCCCCCTCTCTCTGATGGCTTTAAAAGAGGATTAGACAAAAACTGACGGAGGATAAGGCTCTCAATGGCCACTAGCCATAATGGCTGGCTATCTGTTGCCTGCACTGTTGGCAGTAAAATGTCTGAATACCAGTTGCTGGAACTTGCCAGAAAGGGAGAGCAATGTTATGCTCGGGTCCTTCTTACAGGCTTACCACAGGCATCTGGTTGACCACTGGGAGAGGGAACAGGATGCTGGACTAAAAGGGACATTGGGCTGATGCAACAGGCTCTTCCTATGTTCTTTGATCTTCAAATGAGTTCTCAACTCATTAGCTTCAAGGCTTGGACCAGTAGAGCACATTATCTGTGGAGCTATGCTTTGTGTGGGATGCTCACCAGCCCACTCCATTGGCTACAGGCAGGATAGCCAACTTTAAAAAAAGAAAAGGGAAAAAATAATTTAAGTGTTATAATATTGGTCTGATTTAATTTAGCTCATTTCAGTGGGCAGCACAAGTTCCTTTTTTTCTCCTGTGTCTTGTTGAATGATGTCTTTATTTTATTGCTTTCTTTTCAATCACCTTGGGCATTTCTTTACTCCATGATATTATTAATATTGCACAACCTTCACCAGCAGGTTGCAGGGTTATAACAGTTTCCACTTCATAATTAAAAACAGTTAAAAGAGATTGTGGCCACAGAAATCAGACATACGTCTCAGGGGTCAAAGACCGGAGTAAAGAGGTCTGTTTTCAGAATTCCCTGAGAGCTTTTTAATGAAAAAGCAAAACACAGCTTTGTAGAGAAGGAATCCCGCAACTTAGCAGCTGCCACAGAGAATGCCCTCTCCCAGGTCTGTAGCAAAGGTTAACCACATTCTGTATTTAATACAGTATGTTTAAGGGTTGTAAATATATATCTGTCCACATGTGTCACTCTATTTAGAGGAGCAGCATTAGGGTGCTTTGTTTTCTGAGCTGGCTGTAATCATTAATAACTTTTGCTGACAAAGGCTTATCAATCAATCAATCAATCAATCATTACTTATACCCCGCCCATCTGGCCAGGTCTCCCTAGCCACTCTGGGCAGCTTCCAACAGGATATTATAAACACAATGAAACATTCAACATTAAAAACTTCACTAAACAGGGCTGCCTTCAGATGTCTTCTAAAAATCAGATAGTTGTTCATTTCCTTGTCATCTAGTGGGAAGGCGTTCCACAAGGTGGACGCCACTACCAAGAAGGCCCTCTGCCCATAGCTGTCAACGTTTCCCTTTTTTAAAGGGAAATTCCCTTATTTCGAATAGGATTCCTTGCAAGAAAAGGGAAAAGTTGACAGCTATGCCTCTTCCTGGTTGCCTGTAACCTCACTTCTCACAGGGAGGGAACTGCCAGAAGGCCCTCAGCACTGGACCGCCTTCCTTTCATTTCATTTCTTTCCTTTCATTTACTTTATTTATTAAAGGTTCATAATCCCACCACTCATGATGTCTGATTTTAAGGCAAGCAGCATATGACGAAATTCCCATAGACTTCAGAGGAAGAAACTCATTAACAAAGTATTAGGAAAATTAACATTACTGTTCCCAAAAAATCCCTTTCCTGATGACATGCTGGAAATATATTCCTAGACTACAGGAACTTTAGCTGCTTATTTAAAAAAAAGTTTTTGAGAACTCAAATCAAAATCCAAAAACTTTACTTTGAAGCTATGATAAATTGCATATACAGTCCAGCATTGTAGAGTTATTTCTCACCTAGGCAATTCTCCCCTTGACACTGACTTGACCATGTAATTTTAAACTTGATTCATCATTCTCAAAGTCTGGAGGGTCACTAGTCTTCACCTTTAAAAGCTAACATTTTAAAGTCCTTTGTAAACAAACCCAACCTTTGTTTTATCCTTAAGCCAGCTACTGCCATCCAGAAACCAATTCCATAAATGTTTATTATCCTTGGGGCTTGATTGTTCCAGAGCTTGAAAGAAAGAAAACATACAGGCTTCAAATTGCTTTTAATTTAATCGCAAAAGTGTTCAAGTAGTCTACAAATCTAATGTGCCCTCTGGGAGCCAGCAACACAACACACCATCGACATTTATGGTACTTGTATGTCACCATTCCTTAGTTAAACCACACTCAAGGCAACTTACAACAACAAAGGATTGACAAAATTACAAAAATATAGCAAAATTTACGTAGCTGTAAACAATAAATGGAAATAAGTTTGTATTTGTTTGGTTTGATTTTGTGACCTTTGTCAACATCCAAGAACATGATCGATCTCCGCCGTTTGTGTCTAAAAGGATCTGTTTAAAGTCTCTTGAGTTATTTTTCTTTCCTTATGTGTCTTCTCCCTTTTCTTGAATCTGTAATATTAAATGGAGATTTTTATGTTGTTGTTGTTATATGGCACCACACCTGATGATTACTATATAAGTTTTCATCCATGCCCAACATTTGTTATTAGTTTGCACTTGTCCATCCATTCCCCCAACAGTATACGGTTTTTTTTGAAAAGTTGATTACGGCTATTACATAACTGACTTGGCTGTTAAAAGAGTTACCCAGCTCAACTGAACACACACACACACACACATATGAAAGAATAACAGCTGCAATACACAACACAAAGCCAGCCTCTTGTCGCATTGCTCTTGCTACTATTTCCTACCAAAGCCAAACCACAGACAAGCTTTTCACCCATTCCTCCAAGCAAGAAAAAAAATGTGTGAGCAAATTTATTGACAGCTGCATGAATTATGATAGCTAGGAAGTGGAAGGGGCAAGCAGAATATAAAATGGAAGAATGCTATAAAGAGGTGTGGCATATAGCTATTAATGATAAATTAACGTGTGCCATTAAGGTAATACAGGTAATACACAGGAGAAATGATTTTGAGGAGATACGGCAGGTGATTGTAGAATTTGTACAGTGGTACCTCGCAAGACGAATGCCTCGCAAGACAAAAAACTCGCTAGACGAAAGGGTTTTTTGTTTTTTGAGCTGCTTCGCAAGACAATTTTCCCTATGGGCTTGCTTCGCAAGACGGAAACATCTTGCAAGTTTGTTTCCTTTTTCTTAACACCGTTAATACAGTTGCGACTTGACTTCGAGGAGCAACTCATAGCACGCGGTGTGGTAGCCTTTTTTGAAGTTTTTAAAGACTTTGGTGATTTTTGAAGCTCTTCCAAAACTTTCCCGACACCGTGCTTCGTAAGACGAAAAAAATCGCAAGACGACAAAACTCGCGGAACGAATTAATTTCGTCTTGCGAGGCACCACTGTACTGTTAAAATGGAAAGGGATCAAACCATTGCAAGAGGTGTTGAAACTTTGGGAGGTTGGACGGTTACAATGGGATGGTCTTGGTGGTGGGGTGCACATTCTTATTTATTCTTATTACTTTGTCAAAATAAAATAATAATAATCATCAGTGCTTTTTTTCTTTAAAAATGTTTAGGGGTACTCTCATTTTGACTCAAGAAAATCACCATTGTATAGTTCAAATCTGGAAAAATAAATACAGTAAATAGACAAAAGTACAAAGATTCACAAAATGTTTAGGGTTCTAGATTCAGATGGGTAGCCGTGTTGGTCCGCCACAGTCGAAATATATATAGAAAATTAAAAAATTGTCCAGTAGCACCTTAGAGACCAACTAAGTTTGTTCTTGGTATAAGCTTTTGTGTGCATGCACACGAAAGCTTATACAGTCATACCTCGGGTTACAGCCGCTTCAGGTTATGTTTTTTTGGGTTGCGGACCGCCGAAATCTGAAAGTACCAGAACAGGTTACTTCCGGGTTTTGGTGGTCACGCATGCGCAGAAGCGCCGAATCACAACCCGCGCATGCACAGATGCAGGTTGTGAACGCTGCAGGTTGCGAACGTGCATCCCTCACAGATCACGTTCGCAACCCGAGCGTCCACTGTACCAAGAACAAACATCGTTGGTCTCTTAGGTCCTACTGGACTTTTTATTATTTTTTTATACATTAAAATGTTTAGGGGTATGCGTCCCCCCAGGAAAAAACACTGATAATAATAATAATAATAATTAATAATACATTTTTAAAAAAGAAAATGTGTGTGCGTGTCTCCTTATCGACTCCCAGCACCCTCAACGAACTACAACTCCCAGAACCCTTTGAGAACAAGAGCCGCGGCTGTTTTAAAGCGGCACCGTCGCGCTTTAAGCGCCGGGTGTGTGACCGCGCCCTCAGGGAACAAACTCCTGCTTGCCGAAGAGGCGGCCATCCCCGTTGTTGTTGCTGTAAATCTCACCCTCCCGGCTCCCCTTTCCCCCTTTCCACAGCGTGTCTCCCTACCTGGCGGGTCCCCCCTCCCCCCCTCCCCGGGACTCACCTGTCCGGAGCCCCTCCCTCAGACGGAGGTGGTCCCTCAGCCGGCATCTTTCCCCCTCCCGCGCATGCGCACGCCGCTTCCGTCCCATCACTCTCTTTGACCTGCCCGCCTACCGCCGCCGAGGCTGCCCGCTGAGCGCGCGCCCGCCCGCCGCCCGCGCGCGCCCTGGTTGCGAGAGCGAAGCTTCCCCCTTCTTCTTTTTTTTTCCTCAGCGCGGGAAGGGGAGGAGGAGGAGGGGAAGGAGCGGAAGCCATCCGGGTCTCTCTGCGCATCCCCGCGCTCGCCCTCGCGGAGGGGAGAGGGAATCCCTGCCGGTTGGGCGGGCGGGCGGCCGCCGGAGGCCGAAGCAGCAGCAGCAGCGATGCATCTGCACCAGGTGCTCACCGGCGCCGTCAACCCGGGAGACAACTGCTACTCGGTGGGCAGCGTCGAGGACACCCCGTTCACGGTGAGGGACGGAGCCGTCCTGAGGCGGAGGGTCAAGGGAGGGAAGGCGAGGAGAGAGAGGGTGGCACCCAAAGGAGATGCAGAAGAAGGCACCCTCGTCGTCCGGCCAGGCTTTCTGCCTTCGGGGTCTGGGTGGGGCACTGAAAATTTCTATTCTCTCCCCCCCCCCAAAAAAGCTATTTTTGTCTGGTTTCCGTGCCCTGGTGTGTGTGTGTGTGTGTGTGTTTGTATATGCGATGCAAAATTCGGCTGGACCTTATCCCAAAAGGTTTTGAATCTTTATCCTATAATATACTACAATATAATGTCATGTCATGTTGCTATGCTGTCTGTGGTCCACAAAATTCGGCTGGACCTTGTCCCAAAAGGTTTTGAATCTTTATATTATAATATACTGAAATATACTATACTATAATGTTATGTCATGTTATGCTGTCTGCGTACTTGTCCGCAAAATTCAGCTGGACCTTGACCCAAAAGGTTTTGAATCTGTATACTATAATATACTGAAATATACTATAATGTAGTGTTATGTTGTTACGCTGTCTGCATATTTGTCCACAAAATTTGGCTGGACCTTGACCCAAAAGGTTTTGAATCTTTATACTGTACTGTACTGTAATGTATAATATACCTGTGGGTGGTATTCGGTGCTAGTCCAACCCAAAGTAGGCCAACTGAAATTAATGCACACCTAACATATCCACTCTGTCTTAGTTGGATGCAACCCAACACGGATATCCCTCTGACGCAGTGGTTCCCAACCTTTTTTTTGCTATGCCCCACCTAAGCATCTCTAAAATCTTGATGCCCCCACACCCCGTGACATATAATTCTTATTATTCAAAAAGTGCACTCCGATTCACGTGGAGGAAGCCTAAAAGACCATTCCCTGTTAATAACTCATTCTGGAATTGCCCCCCCCCTAAAAATAAAATTGCCCTCCTGTGGGGCACGTGCCCCATATTGGGAACCACGGCTCTGACATGTCTGAAGTACCGAATCTCTATTTATATTCCATAATAATGGATGTATCTATATATTTATCTAAGGTGTGTATCGGATCAGGGAGGCATGCATTGCCCAGCTGGTAGAGTATGAGACTCTTAATTTCAGGGTTATAGGTTCTAGCCCCAAATTTGGGCGGAAGGTTTCTGTATTGCAGGGGGTTGGGCTAGATGACCCACGTGGTCCCTTCCGCCTCTACGGTTCTAGGATTCTATGACCTGCCCTTGCTGACTAAAATAGTGTACCTGTGTGTGTGTATCCTATTTACTTCCTTTTTAAAACAGCATTATATGTTTGTGGCTTTAGTGGCAAGGTGAATAGTGGTGAGGGAGCTGGCAGGTGCTTCCCAAAAGGGTGAGGGAATTATAGGATGGTTGGTGTGTGTGTTGGGGGGGGATGACAGCATTGCCAAGTGGTCACTAAACCGCTTTGGCCTGCCCCCTTGCCTTTACATGAGCATTGGTCCGCAGAAATCAACAACTGAATCATGCAACTGCTTCATGACTGCTGTTAACAGGCCTGCTTGAAAACTTGGCAGTCTTACGGTGGGGGTTCGTAATATATCTTCTCCTTTCCTACCAGTGGTGTTGATGCCTGTCTTTTTAGGCATGGGAAGGCAGGGGCTGTAACTTCTAAAGTAAAGGCCTGTGGAAATAGTGTTGTTGGTCAGTCCTGGCTGTCCTTCCAGGCTGAGCTGCATAATCTCTTCACTCCCTTGCGTTTGTTTATGATGTAATAATGTCCTTAGTCCCACTGGTGGTGACTGGTAAAGATTTAAGGTACATTTCTTTTCCCCAGAGTACCCTGGGAGAGAATGGTGGAGGCAGCGCTCATAGTCTGACTTTCTTGATGCAAGTCTTTTAAGTGAGAAAATCGCATAATGCAGAAAATACCCTGGTCCAACTTGTAATGAAAAGTTATGTGGTTGCAAAAGCCTGCTTAAATCAGGGGTAGGAGACCTGTGGCCCTTCAGGTGTTGCTGGACCCCAACTCCCATCAGCCCCAGCCAGCATGGCTGGCAATCAGGGATTATGGGAGCTGTAGTCAAGCAACACGTAGCTGGCTGAAGACGCCTTACCTGTGATAAATGTTTCCTGGGCTAGCTGTGGATGAGCTTTGCAACTGAATGGAATATAACTTCCTTTGCTAATAATAAATGAAAGTGGGAGGGATCTTGCACCTAACAGCTTGTGCAAAAAAGTGTTCCTTTTTAGGAGTTTTTGAGCAGTTAAAAACAACAATAATTAGCGTTTGGAGGTGAGGAGACTGGGCATGTTAATCTTTGTGACATATACAAGCCTGAAGTAATTTTTGTCAAAATTATTCTGATTATAGCATCTATTTCTCAGACACTTTGGGGGCCTGTTGAAAAACCTTTCTATTCAGAAATGGTTTCATACAGTTTTGACCTTTTAATAACAATTCTGCCAAGAAAATAAAGTATAGGTATTCACTCCAGAGTATTTTCTCTTTTCTGCTGCTATGCAGCTCTACTGACGTCTAAGGACACTGCACAGCCACTGCTTCCTGTGACATTCATAAAAACCGTACTCCGTAGTATTTCTTTCATCACAGTGGAATTCATCTAATAATATGTGGGCTGCATATTGTGTAGCCATTTTTGTCTGAATGCTTTCTCCAAATTTTGATCGTTATAAAAATGAACAGACTCTTACTGCAGATCTTTGGGATACTGTTTTAATGCCAGTTTGCTAACAGCACAGGCCAGAGACCGTGAGGCTGAAGGAGAGGAGAGATGGATTGATTTCATAGATCATTCTTGGCATTGCTGGTTTTCTTATAAGTATGTTCTGCTTAAGGAACTCGGGGGGGGGGGGGCTGAAATCATGATTGGAAAGTGTAAAATAATTGTATTAGATGTGTGTGTTGTAATCTATGCCAGCCCAGGTTGTAAATGACAGTGCCTCAAGGTCTTTCTTTGCTGTGATTCTCCTAAAAATGATCTTTTTAAAAAAGAGCTATTGTTTGTTGAGTGGTTTTATTGTTTGAATGCAGTAAGCTATCTCATGCCACAGAGACTTAGTTTTCTGGTGGTCTGAACTATCAGACTCTCAGTGTTTAAATTATATATTGTGTCTACAAGCAATTAGAAAGGAGGCAAGACATTGGCAGTCACCATATGAATGATTGCAGCAAATAGAGATCCTTATAATTAAGGAATTGCCCCCTTTTATCACAATCCCTCTCTCTCTTCCCTATTAAACCAGAAAAGACAAATGCACCAACCCTCACCTTTTCGTAATATCCAGGTTTACCTGCCCCAGTCTCCTCTATCCTACAAGATGCTATTGAAAGTAATTTTGCTGGCTTCATCATTATTATTAATCTGTGCAGCCCCATCTATATACATGATGCTTTACAAAGAACCTGGAGTTACAATTAGGTAAATTAGGTAAAGGGGCTCCTGGGAAAGTTCTCAATAAGTTACTGTTTTGAGGAGACGTTTAAAGAAATAAGAGAGGTGATCGCACAACGGTGGTGGTTCCATCCTTAAGGGGCAGCAAGACAAAATCATTTCAGGTAGAGCTGTGTGGGCAAAGGTCACTGGAAGGGATGTGTTGGGAAATAAGTGAAGATAGATAAGAAAGGCCATGCAAGGGGGGTGGTTAAAGATGAGGAAGATTGCACAGGATCAGGGAGTGGACAGGAAGCCCTGGAAGGGATTTTAGGAGAGGAGTTGCAAGGTCAGAGCAGCAAGCGTGGAATCAAGCGTGGAATTGGAGTGCTACATGGCTGCAGTTGGATGAAGGTGAAACAAGTAAATCTTCATCTCTACTTGAGAGGTGCTTTGACATTTGCCCCATATTTTAATCTTCCACGCAGGGCATTTCCTTTGACAATATGGGCTTACTGATATCGAGTTCTTTGTCTGTGTAGGTCTTCCCCAATAAGCTGGGGATCTGCTTGCTAGGTACCTACTGGAACCACCACACAAATAAAGAGGTGAAGGAAAGGTAGCTGCAGACAGCCCCAAGTTCTGCGCTGCAGACCTGGAATTTCTCCTTCTATCCCACTGAGGACAGTTGATCCTGCTGACTCTGCAATGGAGTGGGTGGGATTTTTGCAAAGGTAGCAAGCATCCCCTTCAGCAGAACACTGTAGAATGCTGATCCCTGGTAGTTTAGGGATATTAATTCCTCCGTTAAACAGTAGCGTGAGCAGAATGATGATTCTGCTTTGTGAGGGTATTAAAAACATCAAACAGTCATGCTGCAACTGATCCTAAGATGGCTAGACTTCCCAGGCCTATCATTCATCTGTTGTTTGGACATCATATTGGTGGTGCAAGCTGTGCCAGTTACTGTTTTTAAAACAAGTCAGCTTCCACCTTCCATCTCTGTGCATGACTTGGGAGTCCTTAACTTTCGCCATCTCTGTCCTGTGCAACCTGACAGATATGAGCGTTTTGGGAATAGTCTAGTCATCCCTGCGATTGTCTTCGTTCCTGTTTAGATTCATAGTGAGTCACTAGTGACCCTCCTGACGTTGTTGAACTCCCAGTTTTCATAAACCCCAGCCAGCATGGCTTATGGTAACGGATTGTGGGAGTTGTAGTCCAACAATCTCTGGAGGTCCAGAGGTTCCCCACCTCTTCATTAGAACGCCAGTGACCCTAATGCTAAGTGAAACCATAGGAATTTTCTCTCTCACAGACATTGGGAATTACTCAGGGCAGTTTTCTTTGATGTTTTGTCCGTTTAGTCAAGGAACAAGAACCTATAGTTACTTTGACCAAAGCTTTTTGCACTTTTTCCAGTGTCTCTGTGTGAATCTGTATTTGGCTCTTGAGATATGTTCTATTGCAAGAATATTGTTTCTGCCAGCCATTTGCAAAACAGTGTCCTGGTTTACATGTAATGATCCCAGTCTGATAAACCAAGTTTTATTAACCTGTGAATGAGTTGTCTGCCCTTGCACTGACACCTTGTGTCTCTGCTTCCCTCCTTCCTTGGCGCACTCAGCTTAAGCCTT